CCCCAAAACCCCAAAACCCCAAAACCCCAAAACCCCAAAACCCCAAAACCCCAAAACCCCGGAAATTTAAAATTTTATTGAATATCTTCAGAGACTCATAAAGCTAAGCATAATAATTATAGGCACCTTTAGAGAATTCGTCTTCTGGATAGTATCTAGCCTCAACAATTCTTCCTTCAAATCTTCTACCTTGCATTGCTGTTTTTGCAACAGTAGCTTCTCTCTCATTATTGAATCTGACAAAGACTCTACCAATACCAGGTTCTAATGTTTGGCCAGGTCTATAATTCGCATCGGGTCTTGGAGCGACGACCTGTAATACCTTTCCATAAGTCTCCATTTCTTCATATACCTCATCTTCCACATCCGCATACTCATTAGGATCCGAGACCTGTTCGGGTATCAACAAATTGGACAATGCCAATCAAGTACAGGGTGCTCACTCCTCTTTCCACAACTTGCTATCACTATCCTGCAAGGTAGTAGTAGTCTGTACCTTCTTCACATGAAGGTATGCATCCAGTATCTTCATTCCCATAAGTGCTGCTTCTGCTTTTCTGGAGTCCTCTTCCTTCTCGTACTGCACAAAGACCTCGCCCTTATATTTCCCAGTGTTTTCATCATTGATCAGCTCAAGTTCCTTTATGGCTCCACAGATATTAAGGATTTCTCTGATCTGGCCTTCAGAGTACTCTAGAGGCAGGTTGCTCACCTTGAGCTTGGTCACTGTGTGAACTTTGTTCATGAAGGAAGTGGGGTTTGAGGTAGGGGGAATGTGACCGGCGGGGCCAGGAAGGGACTTTAGGATGTTGTCGAATTGGTTGTTGATGGCAGCACTGTTTTGCATGATGGTTTGAGGGTTGATGAACTGGCCGATGGGCTGGTGGGTGACTTTGATGGCGTCGTCGATGTTGTGGTTGTTTTGAGCGAGTTGTTGCTGCATGAGGTGGTATGTGGAGTTAGCGATCTTCGGTTTACCGACTTTTAAGGCATGACCATGGATGGAGATTTGGGAGAGGTTGAAGCCGAGATGTGCGTCTTTGATGGTTCTGAATTCTACAAAACCATAGTGGCCATCTCCGCTTATCCAAGCATCGACAATTGGCTTGTCCTCTTTTTCACACAAATTAAGAGCATATAAAGCATCATTTAGATGCTTGCAAAGCTCTGGAATTTTAATTTCAGGAGGAAGATTTCCAATATACAGTTGCCTATCAGTCTTATTGTGGGCAGTCCCTCCTATATCTGGATTATCCTTCTTATACTCCTCCAACTTTTCTTGAGGAGTTTGATACTTGGTATTAAATCTTGGATCTGGACCAGCTGAAAACTTGGTTGGGATTCCAGCTTCCACTCTCTTCAAAATCTTATTGTAATATCTTTCTATCTCTGCTTCATCATCCTCAGAGTGCTTTGTTTTATCTCTTCTTCTATGTCTATCATCTCTTCCACCACTCCTATACGATCAGCTTAAGTTTTGTATATCCTTACCTAGATCTATTTCTTCTGCTCCTATGTCTATGTTCCCTATCTCTATCTCTATCATGTCTATGTCTTCTGCTTCTGTATCTGTCATCTCTTCTATCATCTCTTCTGTCATCTCTTCTATCGTCTCTATATCTTCTATGTCTTCTGTCTTCGTCTCTTCTTGGCCTATACTCTCTATGGTCTTCTCTTCTGTAAGACTCCATTTTGAACTAATATTATAGAATTCAATTGTTTTTAGCTGAAGCGGGGTTTTGGGGTTTTGGGGTTTTGGGGTTTTGGGGTTTTGGGGTTTTGGGGTTTTGGGG